GGGGGTCTTCTTGGGGCCCTCATTCGGCGTCTTTGGGGCGAGTTTGGTCGTCTTGAGGCTAGTTTGGGTGTTCTTGAGGCCTCTCTGGCGTGTTTGAGCCAGTCTGGAGCCATCTTGGAAAACACCTTGGGCATCTTGGCGGCCGCGGAGGGTAGGGGTAGATTTTGAGGCTCCGAGGGTCCATATGTGTGTTGACGAGCTCGCGCCCTCACCTTCCTCATGGCCCCCCTCCACCAGCATTTTGGACCCCACTGGAGGCGTACAGGGGGAGGGGTGAATGCCGATCATCCCACGCGCTTTATCGCCCCCGGCAAGCGGGGTCGGCGGATGTCCTTCGAGCGATTTGTCTCTGACCTTTCTCTGGGGGTGCCCCACCTTTCTATGCGCCCGCTGACAGAGGGGAAGGGGATCGGATCAGATCGGAGCGCGCCCCTGTCGGCGAAGCTGGCCCCTGTGACGGGGAAGGGCGGCGAACTGCAAGCAGACGGGCGGGCCTGCCAAGTTGCCTTGCAGCTGCCGCGCTGTTGCGTCGAGCAGGGACGGTCGCGCCTCGCTCTCCTCCTCCTCCTCCTCCTCCTTCTTCTCCTCCTCTTCTTCCTCCTCCTCCTCCTCTTCCTCCTCCTCCTCCTCCTGGCGCCAGCTCGGGTCGAGCCCTCGCTCGTCCCGCCGAGCCCGCGCCAGCGAGCCCGTCTCGCTCCGTCCTCCACCTCCGCCTCGCGTTCGTTTTCTCCTGTGGTGTTCGCGCGCGATGGCCGCCGTTGCCCTTGGCGACCCGGCCCCGCGGCGCCGCCGGCCCAATCGCTCCGCTGCGGAGCGGCGGGCCCAATGCGCCCAGTCGGAAGGGCGCGCGGCTTCGCGGCTGGTGCACTCGCTCGACCAGATCGCGCGGCACCGCGGGCAGCGCCTCTCGGGCCTGGCCCTGGCGCTCCAGGAGGCGCTGGCCGCCGCACCCGCCCTTGGCCCCTCGCCGAGGTGCGACCGCGGCGAGGCCTGTGCTGCGCCTGCGGCTGACGAGGACGCCGGCGACGAGGACGAGATCCTGCTGGCGCAGGCGGCCGCAGAAGCGGTCGCGGCCGACATCGAGGCCGACCTTGAGCAGCTCCGCGCCGTGGCCGCCCCGCCTGCCTCGCCCGCCCAGAGGAGCGAGCCCGAGGACCCTGAGGTCGGAGGAGATGGAGGTCTTCGAGGCCGTGGAGCTGGAGGGGGCGCCGTGTCGCGGCTTCGGGGGCCTGTGCGGCCGGCGCCGATGGCCCCAGCGACACCTAAGCCGCCGCTGGACCCCGCGTCCGCCGCGTCGGCCACCGCGCTGAATCTGCACAGGCGTCTCGTCGCAGCTTCGCGCGGTTGCGCGGCCGTTGCGTCGCGTCTGGACGCCTCCTTGGCGGAGCTGACGGCCGTGGAGGCCGCCTTCGCGGCCGCTGGCCACCCCATCCCGCTTCGACCTCCTGGTTGTGCATCGGTTCGGCTGTTCGCCCGTCACCGTGGAGTGCGTGGAGGGCCCGCTGCCACCGCCAGCGTGTGATCGCTGAGAGCTCCTATCGGGGAGCAGGGTGAGTGCGCCTCTTCGGAGGGGCAGTACCCCACCTCCCCCACCCTTCGGGAGAGCGCCGAGGGGCGGCTCGGGCGCGAGGGGCGCCGCCAGCAGTATTGTTCGCATCGCCGCGCCCTTCGACCAGTTCGTGGTGCTGTTCTCGGGTGCGGCTTCCTTTTCGCCTCCTCGCTGAAGGAACCGATTCGCCCGCGTGGGCGGCTGGGGTGGGCGGTCGTTGGATCGTCTCTTTCTGGTGTTCTCCACTCCGCTCCTCCTCCTCCTCCTCCTCCTCCGCTTCCTTCTCCGCTTCCTCATCGTAACAAAAAGAGCATGCGGGCCTGCCAAGAGCAGCGACATAGGAAGACTGTGCATCTCGCAGCCGGTGCTTGGTGCGTGGTAAGTCCAAGGGGGGATGTTTTCGAGAAGGGGGCGCTCCCGCAGGCTGTGCGCGCGATGCCTCTCGACAGGAGTTGGCCCCGCAGCTCGGCGGGGCGGGCCGCGTTGTTGTTTGGTGTGTGTGTGTGTTTTTTTTTTTTTTTTTTTTTATGTGTGTGTGTGTGTGTGCGTGCAGTCGGGGCGCCGTTTAGACGGCTCGAGGCGGGGGTTGGATTCGCACGTTTCGTGTCGGTCGTCCACGGGGGGGGCCGAAGGCATCGCCAGAGGTGTCGACAGCGGCCGCGAGAAGGGAGATGGTGGGATGAGAGAGGTGAGAAAAGCGTTGAAGATGGTGATGATGAGGCTAATTATGCTGATACGGATGATGCTGATGCGGATGGTGATGATGCTGATGATGATGCTGGTGATGGTGATGCTGATGATTGTGATGATGATGGTGGTGGTGGTGGCGATGATGATGGTAATGATGATGCTGATGATGATGTGGCTGCGGATGGTGATGAAGCTGCTGATGATGGTGATGAGGACGCTAATGATGACACCGCCGATTGTGACGATGATGACAACGATAGTGATGCAAATGATGATGATGTTGGTGCTAATGCTGATGTTGCTGCTGCTGCTGATGATAATCATGACCGATGGTGGTGATGGTGGTGGTGATGATGATGCTGATGGTGGAGATGAGGATGATCATGATCATGCTGATGCTGATGATGGCGATGGCGACGACGACAACGACGACGACGAATTGGAGGAGAAGGAGGGGGAGGACGATGAGGATGATAATGAGGGGGATGTCGAAGAGGAGGAGGAGGAAACATATGCGGATTCGGAGGATGAGGAGGAGGAGGAGGAGGAGGTTGAGGATGCCGCTGCTGCTGCCGATGGTGATAATGATGATGATTTTGTTGATGACGGTGGGGATGAGAATTAGGATGAAGGTGATGATGATGATGATGATGATGATGATGATGATGATGATGATGAT